GGAGGAGGAGAAGGAAGAGGAGGAGGAGGAGGAGAAGGAGGACGAGGAGAGGGTGGCGAGAGGATGGAAGCGTTCATCACCGAACCCCGCTGCCACCAGTGCCAGTGCCAGGAAGAGAGGCCCGCTTGTCGAAGACGATGGTGTTGATGACGATGATGGTGATGTGATGCTGCGTATGGTGATGGTGACAATGAATGGTCAATGATGATGGTGTTGATGATGATGATGATGATGATGATGATGATGATGATGATGCTGATGATGATGATCATCATCATCATCATGCTGATGATGGTGATGACGCCGACGATGATGATGATGATGATGTTGATGGCGGTGATGGTGATGATAATTATGCTGATGGTGATGATGATGATGATGATAATGATGGTGGTGGTTGTGATAATGATGGTGATGGTGGTGGTGATGATGGCGATGATGATGGTGATGACGATGATGCATCGGGAGGCATGATAATGAATGGTGGTAATGCATGGTGATGACGCATCGTGACACCTGCTGGTGAGACATGACGATGGTGATGATGATGATGATTTGATGATGATGATGATGAACGTGATGTTGATAGTGATGGTGATGATGATGATCATGATGATGATGATGATGATGATGATTATTATGACGGTGCTGATGATGATAATGATGACGATGATGACGATCATAATGGTGGCGATGCCGATGATACTGACGATGATGATGATGGTGGTGGTGATGTTGATAATGATGATAATGCCTCTGATGATGATGTCGATGATGGTGCTGATGATGACGCGTGATGATGATGGTGGTAGTGATGGTGGTGAAGATGATGATGGCGATTATGATGATGCTGATGATGATGATGAGGATGATGATGATGGTGCTGATGATGATGAGGTGGTGGATGATGATGATGATGATGATGATGATGACGATAAGAATAAGGATGATGAGGATGCTGATAATGATGATCATGCTGGTGATGATGATAATGATGATGATGACGATGATGATGATGATGCTGGTGGTGGTGATGATGATGAGGAGGATGATGATGATGAGGATGATGATGATGAGGATGATGATGATGATGGTGGTGGTGGTGATGACGATGATGATGATGATGATGAGGAGGAGGAGGTGGAGGAGGAGGAGGCGCTCCCTTCCTTGTGCTGGGGGGGAGGGAGTAGGGGGCCCAGGGCGGCGCCCGCCTTGGCCTTCGTCCGCGACCCGCGCCGCTCAGAAGGACATCGGCGACGAGAACATCAACGGTGGGCTAATTAGCATCTTCCGAGACCCCGCCGCGCCGCATGGCGCCGGCGGGGCTTCGCCGCACGAAGGGGACGTACCAGGAGGCGCCGGCATTGCCCTACTCGCTGATGAAGCTGGGATGGCGCCCAAGAACTACAAAGAGGCAAACCACAGCTACACCACCTGCACCAAGACGTCAAACATTGTCGACCAGGTCCCCCTCTGCCTGGCAAGGCCCAGTGCAGCAGCCAGGGCTTCGCCCAGGACCCCGCCAAGAACTCCAATCCAATTCGATCTACTTCCAGTCCTGAGGGCGACATCTTCACACCCAGCCTCACTATTCTTCGACGCACCACCAGGTCACAGCCCTGCCAGGCACACCGACCACAGTAGCCTCGACACCCCCAATTTTCAGTTTCAGTTGCAGCCTGCGTCCCGGCTCTGGCGGAGCGGTCGCCTGAAGGGCAGGCGGGACACAAAAGCACAGCAAGCGAGGGAAAGCCTGCGCGCGCGGTCGGAAAACATCATTGGCAACTGGTCAGGCTAAACCGACGAGAAGGAGGAGGGGGAGGAGGAGGAGGAGGAGGAGGAGGAGGAGGAGGAGGAGGAGGAGGAGGCGGGGCGAGGGTGGGGGGCCAATGGCCCCCAGGGGCCCGAATATATCCATATCCACCGCCTGCCGAGGTCCCCGGAAATTGATCCTCCACACGGTGGCCATGCAGAAATTCCCGCCTCGGACTTCTGCACCGTCAACACCCCGTTAGTTCTTGGCCGCACCTTCACAGACTGCAGCCTCCCTGGATTCGGAAGGCCACGGTCGAACCGTGGGCCCGCTGCCGTCCGGACAGGCGACGCCACGGGCGTGGCGGCAGTCGCCGACGCCGTCCTCGAGCAGTGCCGAGCCGCACCCACCGCAGCCGGACCCTGAACTCTGGGCCTGCAGGGCTCGACGAGCTCTGCCGCGGCATCGTTGACCGCCGCGCTCGCATGCTCCTCGCCGTGCCACGGGCAGCTGCGCTCAGACCTCCGCCACGCCCTCCAGACAGGAGGCACGGGACCAGCGCCGAGGCCCTGAGGGGCTCGGGCCGCTGCAGCGGCAGCTGCCATCACATGCGCTCGACGCCACCGTCCGGGGGCACGGGGTGCAGGGGGGACCTGGAGGTGCTCTTAGGTCGGGCATGTCCCCCTAAAGGCGGATTTTGGACGAAAAATGAAAAGTTGACAAACATTAGCCAAAGTGGTCAAAAAAAACTCAAAAAATCGTCCCGACTATTCTTGAATATGTTTGAACACTCCTCCTGTGGAGGGAGAGGGAGAAGCACGACGGAAGGTTTTTGGCCAATTCCGGCCTCAGTGGGGGGAGCCCTCGCGGGGCGCCCAGGCCGTCAAAACACGGCCCCCGGGACAAAAGACCGGCCCTGGGGAAAGGGTCGGGACTTCCAGGGACACGTGGTGAATGAATCAGTGAGCATCGTTTATCCAATCCCTGTCCCCAGCGGCGTGGCCTGGGCCCCACTGGTCGATTTACCACCCTAGATGGGGATATAGGCCGTTCCCTTCGGGCTTCGAGGGGTGTATCCCAAACTGGGGGGGGTAATTTGGCGGGGGTCTCGAAGGGGATGAGGATGGGGATGGGGGTCGAATAGACGATACTGAATCAAAGCATCGCATGTCTGGGAAGAGCGACAGGGAACAAACAAGCAGGGGGGTCGGCAAGCAACCCGAAGAAGGCGGCGGAGGACACTCGGAAGGGACTCCTCCTCCTCTTCCTCCCTCCACCGCCCGCCCCATGTCCCGACCCTGTGCTCATCAGCTCGTCGTTGCCGTTGTCGCCGTCGTCGTCGTCGTCGTCGTCGTCGTCGTCGTCGTCGTCGTCGTCGTCGTCGTCGTTCTGGGTCGGCGACACTGGCCGTGAGGCCTTCACAAGAACTGCAGCTGAAGTGAGCAAGACGAGCTTAGATGAATTCGGTCGCAGGGCGGAGCGAAGTGGCCGACGGGACCAGAACGCACATTGTGGTGATCTGGGCCTGGCTTTGGCGAGGCTGCTCGAGATGTTTGAATTCGTGTTGTGGATTCAGATTGCTCTATCGCTGGAAAAGTTTGTCCGTTTGTTCTGGTTTGGCTCCATAGCTGTAGCTGTATGAGTTATGTTGATTCACATGCGGGAATCAGGGGGAGGGGGAGGAAGAGGAGAAGGAGGAGAAGGAGAAGGACGGGGAGGAGAGATCGGTGGTGAAGAGGGAAGAGGGGGACAATGCTCCATCCGTCTCTTACCCCTTCGCCTGTTCCTCCTCCTCATCATCCGCCGCTGCCGCCGCCGCCTTCTCCTCCATCTCCTTCTCCTTCTGCTTCTCCTTATCCTGTTCCCTTTTCTTCTCCCTCTCCCCCCCTCCTCCTCCTCCTCCTCCTCCTCCTCCTCCTCCTCCTCCTCCTCCTCCTCCTCAACAGCAGCAAAACCAGCATCATCATCAGCATCAGCATCATCCTCATCCCATCCTCATTACCATCAGCATCAGCATCAGCATCAGCATCTGCAGCGTCCTCATCTTCATCCTCATCATCCTCCTCCTCGTCCTCCTCCTCCTCCTCCTCATCATCATCATCATCATCATCAGCATCAGCATCAGCATCAGCATCAGCTTCAGCAGCATCCTCGTCTTCATCCTCATCATCACCCTCCTCATCATCGTAATCATCATCCTCAGCATCCTCAGCATCATCATCATCATCATCATCATCATCATCATCATCACCATCATCATCATCATCATCATCATCATCATCATCATCATCATCATCATCAACTTCATCTTCATCCTCATCATCATCCTCATCGTCACCCTCCTCATCATCATCATCGTCGTCATCAACATCAGCATCAGCAGCCTCCTCCTCCTCCTCCTCCTCATCCTCCTCCTCCTCCTCCTCCTCCTCATCCTCATCCTCATCCTCATCAGCATCATCCTCTGACCGTAGCCATTTTGGCTCAAGCCGGTCTAAAGCCCCCTGCTCGCCATTTCCGCATCGCGCATGGCCGGTTCCGGAGGTGGCGCTACTGGAGCTGAAGCTTGACCACATGGCTACGGGAGGGCCCTCGCCACCGCCGGTGGCGCGTGAGGCCCCGCGTGTGTGGGCAGGCGCTTCTGCTCGCGCCTTCCAGCGGCGGCTGCGGAGGCGGCGTGCGGCGGCCTGCCTTTCCCCCCGTGCCGATCTCCATCGGCGGCTCCAGGCCTTCCACCGCGGCTTGGAGCTCCACGCCTCGCTCGACGCGCTCCTGGGTACTCACAGCCCCTGTCTCGGGACCGCTCTCGCGCTGGCCAAGCCTTGGTTATCGAGACAAGCCCACATCGGCGCGGTGCACGTGAAGAAAGCACGGGATGCAGCGGCACACGGTGCCTTCTCTTGGCTGAGCAATCCCTGGCGGGCCAGCGCAGGCTCTGCCCCCGATCCCTGCGGGTGTCGGGGCGTGGCACGCCGCCCACCTGGAGGCAGTGCTGGCGGCAAAGGTCCCGCCCGTCCCCAAGTACGTCGTCGTTGAGGTGCCGCGGCTGCTGCCACCTGCCGATGAAGGCGCTCCTTGTGGATGTGATGCCGCCCACACGGCGTCGTATGACTCCGACGTGCCCAGTGGCCATATCCCGCCCGATCGCCCTGCTGGATTGGCCCCCTCCAATCTGCTGCAGGGCCTCTGGGAGCCACTCTGGGACCCTCGACCTCCCGAACCGCCCGCGTTCCCTGTCGTGGAGGAGGCGGGGCACCGCGCGGAGGAGGCAGCTGAGTGGCCAAGTGCTGGTGACGCATATTCAAATCGCAATTTCATGTCGGACCGCTCTGGAGAGGACATTGGGTCGGACACCTTCAGCAACGACCTGGGCTACAGCAACGTGTGCTTCCCCGTTGACTCGTCGCTTGGCGTATCCACTGTGGCTGGTGGGAGGGGCCCGTGCACCTCGATACACGTTGTCCAACACGTCGACGCGTTCTTGGTCACCGAGTTGAAGAATCGCACTTGCGACGGCTGCTCGGTTGTAATCGCTGAAGCCGACGGGTCCGACTCCGAGGCATTGTGGTGCAGAGGGTGCGGCATGCTCATCTGCCCGTGGTGCTGGCCGCCCTGGCTCGAGAAGCGTGTCCACGAGATTGCGAGTCCATGTACGTGATCAACCTCGTGGTCTGCCTGGTCGTCGTCGTGGTGCCGCACGTCTGCGTCCAGGAGGAGCGGAGAGCAGGGAGGGTATCCGCCAGAGGGGTGCAGCGGCAAAATCATCAGCATCATCCTCACCAGCATCCTCGTCCTCATCACCATCACCGTCAGCATCACCCTCTTCACTGCCCCCCCTCTCCCGTCTGCCCTCCACCCAATCCACCCGACCCTGGCTCGCCACCCCCACGAGCCTGCGCCTGCCCTCCTCGTGCCCACCCCTTGTCCCTCCCCCCTTAACATCCCCCCTGGCATTCCCTCGTTTCCTCCTCTTCCCTTGTTCCCTTTGGTCCTCTCCTTCCCCTTTTCTCCTCTTCTTCCCTTGTTCCCCTTCCTCCTCTTCTTCCCCTTGTTCCTTGTTCCCTTTGTCCTCCTCTTGTTCATCCCTGTCATCCCCCGTTGTCCTCCCTCCCTCCGTCCCACCGCACAGGCCTCCTCGACGATGAAGTGATCGGTGGGGGCCTCGCCGAACACCAACAGCATCGCCGTCATGTTGTCGCCTCAAAGAGCAGGTGGCTCTCCATCCCCTCCTTTTCCTTCTCCGACTGCTCGTTCTTCCGCGTCCTGATCCTCCGCATCCTAGGCCGCCAACCGCAACCCTAGGAAGGTAACCCTATTAACACTGCTGAGCTGTAAACTTATTCCCCGTAGAAGCCACCAATCCGATTTTTTAACAAAGGCATGCAAAGGTTATTTCAATCACTCCCGTGTCTGCTTCGACATCCTGACGTGATGTGAAACAAGTTGTACGTGGATGATCTTGCGCCCATTCGATAAGGCCAGAGCGAAACAGCTCTCCTTACTGAAGACTGTGGCTGGTGGCGGTGGTGGTCGGTGGTGCTTGGTGATTGCTGGTGATTGGTTGCTGCGTGGTGGTAGTGGTTGGTCGGTGGGGGTTGGTCGGTGGGGTGAGTGGTTGGTGGTGGTAGTTGGGGGTAATTAGTTGATGGTTGTTCGTTGGTGGTTGGGGATTGATGGTTGGTAGTGGTAGGCCACAGCTTCAAGAAAGTAGAGCTTCTGAATGGAGGCACCTTGGCGCAAGATAACCCGCGTACGACCTCCGCTTCAACACATGGGAAATCAAAAGTGGAAACGGGAACTGAAGTCCACCACCGTGCCTGCACGGAGTGGGCGTGTTAGAATGATCCTTGGTTGTGCGGTGAAGTTGTTTAGCATGTTTTCTAGGGCTGACCGCCCCCCTCGACGCACGCGTGGTCCGAAAATAGCCCCCTCCCTGAAATTGCTCTAAGGCGCTATTCTAGGCCTCCAGATGGTCAAGATAGCCTCCGAGACGGGTTCCAAGACAGCCAAGATGACACCCAGACGGCCCAGGATCGCCCAAGGCCACTCGAGAGTCTCCTCAGACGGCTTCATGACGGCCCAAGAGGCCTCCATGACGTCGCAAGAGCGCTCCAATCGTTAGCTCCTGGGAGGCCCAGCGGAGTGGAGTTCCACGCGGATGCGGGCCGGAGCTCGGTTCCCCAGGGTCTGCCAAGTGCCGACTGCGCAACGGTCGACCGCCCACTGCCAAACTGGACTGTTCACCCGCAGTCCCCGAGCTGCCACCCCCCCAAAAAAAAGTCACGCCGTTCAGAAAAGAAGAGAGCTAGGGGATGCACTCCCGGAGGGGCTGTCGGACGCACCCGTGTCGAGGCTGGGCGCCCTCAAACGGCAGGATCCCCGATAATTGGGCCCAGCCTGCTCTTGTCGAGTCGAAGGTTCCACGGAGTCGGGGATCGGGCGGAACAGTGACTGGCAAGACATGGGTTCTGCGGTGGGACCCGAAAAACTTGAAGGTCAGATGCCCCACTCGCCCCTCAACGCGAAACGCTTCCAGAGAAAACCCCTCAACATTTCGAGCCCCAAGCTCGACACCGAAAACCGAGCACGACACGCCGATGGAGCGGCGACAGGCCCCGCCGGGGAACCTCGGGGTCGACGCCGCCCCGCCCGCGCCGGGGCGGAGCCGAGGGGGAAGCCGAGCCTCCGCCGGCCGCACGCGGCCACCGCACGCGCAGCCGGGCCACGGCGCAGCGCGGAGAGGAGCAGGCGGAGGAGGAGGCGGAGGAGGCGGAGGAGGAGGAGGCGGAGGAGGAGGAGGAGGAGGAGGAATAGGCGGAGGAGGAGGAGGAGGAGGAATAGGAGGAGAGATGAGGAGGAGGAGGAGGTGGCCGGACGCCTCCTCCCTCCCTCCGCCCCCCCCCCCCACCTCCGACTCCCGCGCCGACCTGTCCTCCCATGCCCTGCGTCAGGCCGAGGTCTGCGAGAGGCATGGTCCAGCCTGGGCGCGCCCCCGCCCCGCGGGCCATATCGCCGGAGGGGAAGAGAGAGAGCGAAAAGGCCTCTGGCCGCTTCTCCTTTTCCTCATTCTCCTCTTTCTTCCTCCTCCTCCTCCTTCCTCCTCCTCCTCCTCCTCCCTCCCCGCTCCTCCTCCTCCTCCTCCTCCCCTCCCTCCCTCCCTCCCCTCCCTCCATCGCCTTCCCCTCCTCCCTCATCCCTCCCTCCCTCCCTCCCTCCCCTCCCTCCCTTCCCTCACTCCCTCTCGGACCTCGCTCCTCATACCCCTCCTCCCTCCTCCATCCTCCCTCATCCCTCATCCCTCCCGCCTCCTTCCTCCCTCCTCCCTCCTCCCCTCCTCCTCCCTCCTTCCCTCCTCCTGCTCCCTCCTCCCTCCTCCCTCCTCCCCCCTCCCTCCTCCCCCTCCCTCCTCCCCCTCCTCCCTCCCTCCTCCCTCCTCCCTCCTCACTCCTCCCTCTCCCGTCCTCCCCCTCCTCCCTCCTCCCTTCCTCCCCTCCTCCTCTCCTCCTCCTCCTCCCCTCCATCCTCCTCGCCTCCTCCTCTCCTCCGTCCTCCTCCTCCTCTCTCCTCCTCCTCCTCCTCCTACTCCCTCTCCTCCCTCCCTCCTCCTCCTCCTCCTCCTCCTCCTCCTCCTCCTCCCTCCTCCTCCGCCTCCTCCTCCTCCTCCACCTCTACCGCCTTTTCCTTTTCCTCTAGAGGCACCGACAACTGCATAATCGTACTGCGATGGAGGTCTGCGGGGATTTCTTGGATCAGCGCTGGACGGCCTCCCTGGCCCGCGGGGCTCGCCAGGGGCGGCGCCAAAGGCGCCCCCAGGGGTGCCCAGCGCCGATCACAGAATTCAGCGCGAAGTTCCAAGACCTTATGATTACGCAATGTCGTGTTATTCGATGCTCCTTCTCCTCCTCATCATCCCTTTTCCTCCTCTTCATCAGCATCAGCATCAGCATCAGCATCCTCATCATCAGCAGCAACATCCTCATAATCCTCATCAACATCCTCCTCCTCATCATCGTCATCATCATCATGATCATCATCAGCAGCAGCAGCAGCATCGTCATCCTCATCATCATTATCATCAGCAGCAGCGGCAGCAGCATCCTCATCATCATCATCAGCATCATCACCATCATCATCATCATCATCAGCAGCATCATCATCATCAGCATCATCACCACCATCATCATCATCATCATATCATCATCATCATCATCATCATCATCATCATCATCATAATCATCATCATCATCATCATCATCATCATCATCATCATCATCATCATCATCATCAACGACATCAGCAGTATCATGATCATCAGCATCATCAGCATCATCAGCATCATCAGCATCATCATCATCAGCCGCAACATCATCAGCATCAACAGCAGCATCAGTATCAGCATCATCCTCAGAATCAGCATCAGCAGCAGCAGCATCGTCATCATCATCATCAGCCTCAGCAGTATCATCATCAGCAGCAGCATCAAGATCAGCATCACCTTCATCATCATAATCATCATCATCGTCATCATCAGCATCAGCAGCAGCATCAGCATCAGCATCAGCATCCGTATCTTCATCATCATCATCAGCATCATCATCATCATCATCATCAGAAGTATCATCATCAGCATCATCAGCATCATCAGCATCCGCATCACCAGCATCAGAATCAACATCATCAGCATCAGCAGCAGCATAATCGTCATCATCATCACCACCATCATCAGCATCATCATCATCATCTGCATCATCATCGTCATCATCATCATCGTCGTCATCAGCATCATCATCATCAGTTGCAGCATCATCATCGTCACCATCACCAGATTTTGCGATGAGCGGACTTCAAGTTCTGGGTTTGCAGCACACCTTATCCTCCTCCTGCCCCCCCGTCTCCTTCTTCTTCTTCTCCTCCACCTCCTCCTCCTCCTCTTCCCCCTGTTCCTCCGCCCAGCGAGCCACTCTTGTCGGGAAGGGGGCCGAGTTCGGGACGGCAGACTTAGGCATGACTCTGCCAGACACCGGTGCGATGCAAGCTTGTCACGCGTCCCGCCCGCGCAGTGAAGGGCATGAGGTGCTTGAGAAGGAG